AGATCGTGACCTGAGCTGAAGTCGGACACTTAACTGACTGAGCCGTCCAGGAGCCCACCCCCAAGGTAGTATGAGCATAGAAACTTCTAGAAGCAGCAAAGTTCAGGGATCATAATCAGAACATGATTGAAGATAAACAAGGAAGCACGCTTTCCTGAGTGTTTCAGCAAGGGTGAAAGAGTGAGAACAGAACTTTCTGGAAAAAAATAAAAGCCAGGAGAAAAAGTAAAATTTACCGAGTAACAAGGCAATTGAAGGAGCACTGAGTTGCTGTAGTGAACACTTCCATTAACTTATACATCCCATGGGAGGGTCAATCTTGGTGGGCAGTACATTCTGACTTTTTAAGGTGATGATTGAAATATGTCATTGGGGAATGTCCCTAAAGAGGCCAGTAAGAAAATAAAAGAGATATGAAAACCAAAGAAAAGTGAATCAACTAGGAACAACAAAAAGGACTAAGGCATTCATCCCTATCAATCATTTATATATTCATGTTTAGTTTCTTGAGGAACATGTGTATATTTTTATAGATTTTGAAACAGGGCTTAGGATAGAAGCTAAGTAATTAAAAAGAAAAAGGAGATATCTCTGAGTAGAGCCTTTCAGAAGCATATGCTGTCAACTTCAAATTACAGAAAATTGAGATATCATTGAGGGAGTCTTTAAAGAGGCCAGCAAGGAAAAAATTGAACTTATAACGAAAAAAAGTAAAAACAAACGAAATATCACGAGAAGAAAACACAAAACAAGTTATCACTTCTACTCTTTTCAGTCTGTGTCTACATGTAAGTAATTATGTTAGCGTTATTAAGGTATAACTAAAGTTCAGAAAGTACCTAAACTATGCAATTTGATCTGTGTTACATATATGTAAGCCTATGAAACCATAACCACAATGAAAATAGCAAGCACTCACATCACCTCCAAAAGTCTTTTTCTTCCCATTTGTAGTCTACCCCTACTTCCACCTCCATCCTCAAGCAAACTCTGGTCTGCTTTCTGTCACTATATTTTAATTTTTGCAGTATTTTTTATATAAAGTTAATCACAGAGCATACACTTTTTTTAATTTTTGTCTGACCTCATTTAGTCAATATAATGATTTTGCATGCAACAATAACATATTCTTTTCTACTGTTGAGTGATATTTCATGATATGGTGAATGTTTATCCCTTCATCTGTTGATGGGCACTTAGATAATTTCTAGTTGTTGGCTGTTACAAATAAAGCTGATATGAAAATGCATGCACAGATTTTTGTGTAAATGTGTTTTCATTTTTCTTGGGAATGAAATGGCAACATTATATAGAAGTTGTAAGTTTAATTTTTAAGAAAGAAACTACTAAACTGTTTTCCAAGGTGGTTTCACCATTTTACGTTCCCATGAGTAGAGTATTAGAGTGCCAACTTTCCTCATCCTTATAATTACTCAGTGTGGTTAGGGTTTTTTTGTTAATATTTTTAATTTTTAAAAGTTTTTATTTAAATTCCAGGTAGTTAACATACAGTGTAATATTAGTTTCAAGCTGTACAATATAGTGATTGAACATTTCCATACAACACCAGGTGATCATCACAACAAGTGCACTCCTTAATCCCCATCACCTATTTAACCCATCCCACCACCTCTCTCCCCTCTGGTAACTATCAGTTTGTTCTCTATAGTTAAGAGTCTCTTTCTTGGTTTGCCTCTCTCTCTCTTTTCTTTACTTTTGCTCGTTTGTTTTGTTTCTTAAATTCCACATATGAGTGAAGTCATATGGTATTTGTCTTTCTCTGACTGACTTGATTTCCTTAGCATAGTACTCTCTAGCTCCATCCACATTGTTTCAAATGGCAAGATT